TAGCCCTTCGACGGCGTGCATCCTGAAACAACTCACAAGTGTTTTCCTGAACACTCCCTCTGATCCAAGGCTCTGCCGCCACCTGGTGGTCAACCAGTCTCTCCTCGCCCTGCTCGGAGTCAGCACCCTGTCCAGGGTCCTCCACCTCCTTCAGGGCCGACTCATAAGACCCCTCGCTGTCGGAGTCTGGCGGCAGCGCCAACGGCTCCTGCCGGGCCACAATAGCCCCCTTTTACAGTTTGTCCTTTCTTTCTCCCCCAAACTAATATGATCTTTGTCCCAATATAGCCAGCTTCATTTATTCAGCTGTTGTATAATATAGCGGTCCCTAACCATTTCGGTTTGATGGACTGGCGGGGGGAAGGGAGAGTTCTGTGTGAGTGGCAAGTGCGTGTGCATGCAGCTCTATTTGTACAGGTGGTGCATTTCTACTGCTCTCAGAAGTAGAGCTTTCCAAGTGTGCCCACCCACCCCCGCTTAGGCAAGTGGAGCTGCCCACATGCATGTGCTTACTTGCCCCTTATGAGGCCTGGTTCAGAATGGGTCACAGGCCAAGGGTTGGAGACCCCTGGTATAATACACTCTATTCTACCCGGAAGGCACCAATAAACCCTACAAGAGAGATATGTTACTGAAGATACAACACTGGCAACATAAATGGGCAGAAATGGAAATACTAGCAGCAGAATAAAGCAGGTTTGAGCAAATTTAAACCTGAATGGCTTCCACAGATATTGCACATTATGTCATAAGTTAAATTTAAGTATTTAATGTGTGGTGTTTAAGAATAAAAAATGACTAAGGAAATAAAAATATAATTTCTTTTTTTAATAAATATTGTACATCATTTAGAGAACAACTAAGGGGAGGTTAGAAACTAAATATTTACCTGTAATGTTTTTAGTAGTTTTTGTCCTTTTTTATCTTTAAATAACAAAACAGCAAATACATTCAGTTCAGATTCAATAATATTCTTAAAATTCTTTTCCTTATTGTTACAAATAACAAAGCATTTTGGTTTTTAATTTCTCATCAATAATATATTGTGTATCAACTGCACAACTTTTGCAACATCTTTGTCCACTTACCAGTACTGGTATAACAGCATTTTTTAAAAAATTGTTTCCTCTTTTCTCTCTTTTTTTTGTAAAAAGTAAAAAATAAGAAACCCTTGACATTTATGGCTTACAATAATTACAGTTTGGGGAAGGGGTTTGGACAGCTGCCCTTCACGTTAATTGATGTTAAAGCAATATACTGCAGAATGGTTCATTATAAAATGTATTTGAGAAATCCTAAATTCATGAGACTAGGAAGTCGGAGGACGAAATCCAGTTGCAGTTTGTCAATAGAAATTCTTTGACACTGAATTATCAGCTTCACAGAAGTGAATGCCTGCAGTTGGTACCTCTTATTTAGCAGCTGAGGCCTGAGTCCAGCCAAGAGATCAGGGATGGTTTTTTAATGAAAACTAATTTCTAAGTTTGGCGACTGTCATCCTGGGGACAGCTGCAACTTCTCCAAGTTAATATGGGCGGAACTTTCTCTGTGCTCTCATGAGAGCAATTTTCTGCTTATCCTCTTCAAATTTCTTTCTTAGCTGGGCTATATCTGAAAGAATCACAAGAGATATTAGATAGGAGAGATGAGAATATCGTTCTTAAACCATCTAGGTTTTCAATCCTATAATCTGTTAGCAGGTAAACTACTCAAGGTGATTCAAATTATTACTGGAAAATAGGGATGAGAAAGACAAATGCTTTCACAACCTTCAACCCATTTGCCACTATGTCACCAGATAACATAGTGGGAGTTAGCTAGAGAATATGAAAACATTTTTGCGCATTTAGCAAAATTGCATTGTCTTATTTAGTATTAACCATTCTGAGTTGGGGGTTACTTAGATTGTGTTCCACCTGTCTTTCAAGTGATGTATTGCACTCTCTCGGCCTTCTGTCCCACTCTCTCGGCCTTCCATCTCACTCTCTCGGCCTTCCNACAGAATGTAAATTGTTCCAAGTAATTTCTGAAACTTTCTGATGATGATTTAGTCCATGACGAAGGTGTTCAACGGGTCCTCCAGATATTTTGGGATTGCACCCAAGGCACCTAGTACCATTGATGCTATCTTTGTTTTTTTTTTTTGCCACAATCATTTTGCTTCTATTTGCAGGTCTTTGTATATTATGATTCCTCCCCACCACCACCATGTTGTAGGTGAAACAAATGAGCAATGTTTTCAGCCTTAAAATATAGTGGTATAGCAGGGGTGGGTTCTAGCCGGTGTTACTGCCGGTTCACTCATGTGCACACTGGATGCACTCTTCATGTGCATGTGCAGTGCACGTGAATGCACAGTTCAATGGAAATTGTTCTACGCATGTGCAGAAGTCCCAAAAAAGATGGCGGCGGTGACCGAGGATGGAGGAAGTGGCCAGCCTGGGTCACTGCCAGTTCTGCGACCCAGGTCGGCATATCACTACCGGTTCGGCCAAACCGGGCCGAACCAGTAGGAATCCACCTCTGATATAGCATCATTCAACTTTACATCCAAATTCAATACTGTTTTCCTTTCTCATAATCTCTTTGAAAAAGGAAGTCAAAATGAGGAAAAATATGCACAGGAAATCTACTATGTATTTCCCAATACATTTGCCAGTCAATGTTAATGCAGTGTTGGTATCTGGTTGAGCACTGAGAAAAAAAATTAGGCAATTTGTTTTTGCCCATACATTTAAAAAACTAATAGATTTATGCTCCCTAATTTCAAAACTTTGAAACTTTTAGCAATTTGGAATTCTTGAATCCACCTACAAACCTTTATTTTTGCTCTAAAGGATGTAAAAACAGAAAAATTGTGTGTGTATGTACACACACACACAAGCTATTGCACTGCAATTCCAGAAAGTATTATAGCTGACATTATTTATTAATGTATATGAATGTACTTATAATTGCACTGATCTTAGAAGGCAGTTATAAAATACATATGTCCATTTTGCTTCAATAAAAATGCAGACAGGAAAGCAAGGGATTGAAAAATACTACTATACCATGGCTGCATGTTGGATATGTTTCATAAAGAAATATGTATTATTTTCTTCTGCTAGAAAGCTCTTATAAATAATGCATAAGTAAAACTATAATTATAGCAATGAATAATACAAAACCACCCAACAATAAAATGGCCATTCAAATGGACTGCAGATTTTCCACATCATATGAGAAAGTTGATTCGCTTGTAGATTGCCAACTTTGTTTTTTGGAAATGTTATTCAACACTTAAGGAGAAATTAGAAGTACAGCTGAGTGTATGCCAGTGTAAAAAAAAATGTGGCTTTGTTGAACTTGCTGTAAATCTGATGCTGGAAAATGTGTTATTACTATAAAGAGCATATTAAAGAAAGGGATTGGTGTATTTCCCCAGAATTATCTCCCTCCTTTCCCACAAAATGCCAACAGCTGACTCAAAAGCATCCATTGCTTAACATTGGATAAGGATAAAGTGATGAGTTTCAACACTCAGTCTCCTGCTGCACCTGTCATTTATTTGAGCTGCATCACCCCCTCCACTTTCCTCAGACTGAGAATTTCCTTCCTGCTGCACAACTAACCTCTTCCAACCTACCCAGCTATAAGTCAGCTTTTTAAAAAACACAGATACCTACACTACACATGTCTAAAAGTATCTTTGATAATACTGATATGGGATACAGTGCAATGGGAGATTCAATCTCACTAAACTATAGCACCATGCTGTATGTAATTTCCCTAAATGCTATGTTTAAAGGTATCCTGTTTAGAGGAGACAGGCTTTTTAGGGAGACTTCATATTGCAGATGAGTCTCCCTCCCTCTATGGCAGGGTTGTCAAACTCATGGTCCGTGATCTGGATGCATCACGTGTTGTTCCTGCCCCCACCCAATTTAGCGAAGGGGAAAAAAGTTGTGATACATCATGTGACGATGTATCATTGCGAGTTTAACATCCCTGCTCTATAGTGTGTAGACTGCTGGTTTAAATCACTAATTTAAAATGTGAATCAGATCAGAGATCTGCAAGTAATAGAAGGATAAAGATTGGATTGAAAGATCTGAACTCTTTCAGTCTTGCTGCCCAAATCAGAATGGCCCTGGAACCAGAGAAGAGTGGCAGAGCCCACATCAGCCTAAAATATCTTAACATTTCTATAGTGTTAAGAGAAGTTAAGTCAAACCTTTCTCTTGGGATCACTTTAATATACCCGACAGAATGATTGGCGAAGCTTGTCAGTTTATATCTATTGCAACAAATATGTTGTGGTAAGAAGAAAAACCTACTTTAAAACCAGAAGAGTTAAAGATATTTGAAAGCTGCCTCAGATGATATCAAGGGATTAGGTCCGTATCAGACAATGATAATGTTGCCAGGGGTGGTTAGATACAAGTTATAGTGCGGTTAGATGCAAGTGAAGGAAGACCCAATGTCATAAAGTGGTTCAAATATTGATTTTCTATCTTTCAGGAAACACTTAAAGAAATGAACCTCTGCCAGAAACACATGTTTGTAATCTGAATCATGTTTGTATTAGCTGACATATAATTTAGATTCTAATGGACTGTATTTTTTAAATAAAGGTATATGGTTGATACTGGCTTCAAGAAGTAAACTAGTGGATAACGCATGAAAGTTTAACCATTATTCTTTTAAAAAGGTTAGCCTGGGTGGAAAGGTCCGTATATTGTGGCATAATGGCAAGGGTCAGAATGTAGATCTGGAACTATCTCAAAAAGATTATAGTTGCCAACCAGGATTATGAATCAATTTATTTAATCATCTATGTTGTGCAATCTAGGATTGATTTGAAGAACCAGCTCCCCCCCCCATGTGAATATGAGCCACTGGTCACTCTTAAGGACAGAAAAACTTGGTCTAGGACAACTTGCCGCAACCAACTCACCACATGACAATTTGCCATGGCCAACTTGCCACGGGGCAATTTGCCATCAGACAAAAATTACATAATATCAAAAAAATGGCGAAATAGAATCATTAAAGAAATGATGCAAAAGGAAGGACAAAATGAAATGTGAATGACAAAAATTAAAATAATTTTTAAATTATTTAAATAATTAAATAAAATTGTTGAATTGTCCTGAGGTAAGTTGTCCCATGGTGAATTGGCTGCAATGAGTTGTCTCATGGTGAGTTGGACATAGCACATTGGCCAGGATGAGTTACCCCATTCCGTGTTGACATCTACTTACCTCTAGCCATCCAGAAAGGCAACATCCCACTGTTTTTTGGGGGGAGGGGTGGGGGTTAAATTACATTCATACTAGCAATGCTGTCTATGTTGTCTTCTGCACTTCATTTCATTGCAGGTAGTTCCCTCTATTTCAGTTGTGATTCCCTGTTGCAGAAATGCCCCCTCCCATCCTATTGCTTTAAGGCTGTCTGAAATATTTTATATGTTCATTTGTAGAGAAATGAAAGGCTAGCTTTTTAAAAAAAAGTTACGTGATAGAACATTGGAACAATGAAATGGAGGATCTTTTTTTTTTTCTTTCTCTCTTTTTCAAATTAGATAAAATTGACAAGATGTTACATTTTTGCCTTCTAGTCCAAGGCAAAATGGTAAATTGAAGAAATCCTTCCTTCATTTCTTCCTGTCTTCCCTTCCTTCCCTTCCTTGTCAGCTATGAGGATGCTTATACAAAAGAACTGTTGTACGGAAAACCACGTGTCCTTGAAGCCCGTCCTGTGTCATTGGTGATTGCTTTCCTGACAGGCATAGGAGGGGTAAAGAAGTAGTGGAATCCATGATACAGTAAACATAGTACAACCATATAAGGCCATCACTGTGGTCAAAGTAGAAGAAAGTGGAATCTGGAAAGGGCTTTTTAAAGCTGGTTTCACTTCCACGATTTAAGGCTGGAGTGTGGAGTGGTTTTTTCACATAGGTTTTTCACACATCAACCAGAGAAACATTTTCAATAACCTAACTGAATTCATTGGTACATTAAGTAATGTTTTATCATACAACTGAATCTAAAGAGGGTTATGTTATCATGAACATGCAATGCAAATATTAGCCAATATTGTAATATAACCTCCCTTTGCACTGAGTTCAATCTGTAAAAGTTTGGCTTTGAATGTTTATGTATAACTACAGAGAAGATATTGCAAGATATAGAAATATCAATTTTCAAAGCTGAAATATAAAGAAGCCCACCTTTGTCTGATAGATCTTTAAAATTTATATCACAGGAACAATTGAGATGGTGTTGATTCACATCACAAAGAATTTCATTGGTCCTTGCATTTAACATCCTGCAACGGGAGCGTGATTCAGAAAGACCAAAAGAATTTACATCTACTGTCACAGGAATCTAAAAGAATAAAAACATTGAAAACAATAAATGTATTCAGTAACAGTTATAGAATTGCCAATTTTATCCTGACAGTGAGTTAGGAAGTTGAAATCTGCTGAAATCTGTGCAACTTCAATGATTAAATCCAAATAATCAACTACAAAAGAGGATCTATCTGGGTTTCCTTCCTTCTGTTCCCAGTCTTAATAATGATATAGCATTATACAGTATACGTAGAGATGCATGGCTTCTTTTGTTTAAAATGTAGCAAAAATTACTTGAAAATTAAAGTATATCCCTATGATCATCATAGATCTGGAGGGCCCTAAATTAGCCAGACTGGTTTATTTATTATGTACAGCTTTTAATAAGGTGAATATTTAGAAATTTGAAAGTCATAAAATATAAATAACATTGGTATGATAAATAGAACTGGTAGGAAATATCTGTGGCATGAGTTACTTTCTAAAGAGCAAGGATGTACTGTGCTCCAACAGCAGCAAAAATATTAGTTGAATATACAATTTTGTATTTCCACTATTTCCACTTTTATTTATTTTGTTTATTTTACTGGACTGAATCCAAATACAAAGTATTATAATCATGACTATATCTAGATATGATCCATTATCTAATTTTATTGGTATAATGAGAGCTACTACACTTGGAAAGGAAATGATAAAAATTACTAAAGGCCAATGATCTTACAATTGCACAACCCTAACCCAGCAACAGGTTTCATTGTTAAAACTAAGAAAATGGGCAATAGAATGTTCCATTGGCCGGAACACTGCAATAATGCAATATCATCATAGTCTCAAAATCACCATTGCTAACCATTTTATTACTATTACTGACTTTAATCTATGACTAGTGAATTGTGAATTACATACCTTATTATTTTTGAAGTGAAGATTATCAGAAGTGTGGATTTTCAGGCACTTATCTTTGCCGTATGAAATATTTACCCAGTTAGGTGAGTTACTAGAAAATGAACATTCTCCTTTTAAAGTGCAGCTGAAGAAAATACAAGTATATTTGTTATAGAAATACTAAAACATGTTTTAACTCTATATAGCAATTCACACTGTTTTTCACTAGCCATTTTTAATTTTTTTCCTCAGCTCATAACAGGTTTATAACATGACAGGCTTATAATTTTCCTTAGCTCATAACAGGCTAAAAGGATGTGTTTTACATCAAATATGGTTTGAGGTTTCTACCCTATTTCTACTCAGCTATTCTTGTAAAAAAAAAGTTGCTGTAATGTTTCTGCAAGCAATGCAAGCATTCCTGAGAAACAGATTGGCCTTATCAGATTATCATGCTCTGATGCATTTGCTTATTGTTGCATATATGTATTGTTTAGATTTTTATGATTCTAAAAATCATTTTACAAAACAGTTAAAACCAGGGCTCAGTGTAATAATGGCTTGAAGTTAATATTTGAAAAAGCCTAAATTTGAAATTTTGGGAGCCTAGAATAAAAAACATAAAGAGATTCAAGTAGATTGTATTAAAATCCATTGATCTTTATATAATTTTCAACAGTGTAACTATAACTCCTAGAACTCACAATTGCTAGCAGGGAAATTGTGGATTTGTAATCCCCACATTCTGGGGAAATAGCTTCATTTTCTTTTTAAAGCTGGCATGCAAGCTATTTCTGGGAGTTTTATGTGAACAGCATTGCTAATTTTGCTTTGGAAAAATTAAATGAACCTTAAATGAAAATTTTGATTTCTCTCATTCTGGCACTTAAAAAGATCTTAAGCAAAGATCTTGCTTTGTTTGAACACTGTTATGGAATCCAATGCTCTTTGGAGCAAAGAGGTTCTTCCCCCCCACCTCCCTGAAAAGAGGTTCCAAAGAATGTTGTCAATAGTTTGGTCCATCTAAAAAGAAAATCAACGTGGCAATAAATACTGAAATGCATTTTAGCACAAATTCATTTATAATTTTTAGGGGTGACATAATTGCAAATTCTGAGAATCTTTGCCTTAGTAAAAACCCTATGAACCACAGAAATAAAATAATCTATCTTTCCTTCCTTTCTTCCTTTTCTTATTCTTTCTTTTAAAATGTACATAATTTTGAACAGACATTGAGACTCTCCATGAAATATTAATTATGTTGTATTACAATATTAATACAAGGATAAATACCTTTTCTTTGTGTGGCACCATCCACAGTGTGGGTCCATTGCAGATAAACAATCTCTACAGGAAATATATTTGTTGCAATTTGCAACCTGTATTCTCCTGATCTAAAAAAATCAAAAAGTATATTTTACAAATTCCTTATTAGCCATTCCAAGCAAATCAAATAATATTTTTATGAGTTCAAGATACATAAAAAATAATAACTATTTTAAAATAAAGTTATAACTCTTAAAAATATAGGGAAGTATTCAAACAAATATGCTTCATTAGAAACTAGAATAAGGTGTGTGTTTTGGGTATGTTGATACCAATTTCTCACTTTATCAATCTTTTACAAATAACCATTTGTGAACTTGATTTGAGCTTATCCTGGCTGGCAAAAGCTGGCTGACAAATAACAAGTCTGTGGCTGTTAGTTTATATTGATTCTGGGTTGATTCTGGAACAAATTCTAGGATTAAAAGAAAAACATATAAATTACATGTTTTCTAATGATGTAGTGATAATTTTAGAAGATCCTTAATAGAAATATTAATAAATATAAACAGTTTGGGGATAATAGCTAATTTTAAAATTAGCAAAACATGAAGATGCTAACAAAAAATTTGAAAATGGAAAAATTAAGGGAACAGTTGGAAATAACTGGGTATTGCAACAGGTGTAACTTCAAGCACTATCAAAGCTCTCTTCTTTCAATACCCTTGTAACTTTAACGTAATTGAACAAATGGTCATAAATCAAGGACTATCTACAACCAAAATTTATGTGGACAAGAAAGGTCATGTTATCATGCTTGGTGGACTTGTAAGAAAATTTTAAGTTCCAATAGACATAACAATACAAAGAAGTTTAAAGATTAACATTCAACTGAAAAGAGAATTTTTCCTGCTGGGATTAATGGACAATCCAAAAAGAGTTATGGGGTATTATTTTTAAAGATGTTCCCTGCTGTGAGGCTAGCATATGCACAAAAATGGAAAGATTCTAAAACAAACACAATGGAGGAATGCTTGGTGAAGAAGACAGAAGTGGTAGTAGAAATGTAGTAGTAGAAATGACAAAATTGACCGGCTTGATCAACATCTACATTTATTAGTAGCTGAAAACTCCTTACAAACTTTTTGATGTAGAAAGAAAAAAATGATCTATAGATTAACAGACTAAACTATGGAAACAAGAAAATTTTGATGTAGTATTAGAAATAGAGAATAAAATATAAATGCATTCATAATCACTATTATGAAGATCGGAAACTGTTTCTTTATATTTTTCTTTTCTTTTTTTCTATTTTCTTTTCTTACTATTTACTATTTTTATTTTCTTTAATTACCATTCAATATTTATTTTGTCTTTGACTTGTTAAAACACAGACACATGTACAGCAGTGACGTGCAGTGAGGTTTATGGCTGGTGAGACAAGCGGGCAAAAGCCGCCCTGCCGCCCCAGCGCTATGTCCAACATAGAGATGAGACGCCTCTATGTCGGACATAGCGGCAGGATGGCTTCTGCCTGCTTTCAAGAAAGCTTTCTTGAAAGCGGGCAAAAGCCACCCTGCCACCCTGGTGCTATGTCCGACATAGAGACAGGACGCATCTATGTCGGACATAGCGGCAGGATGGCTTCTGCCTGCTTTCAAGAAAGCTTTCTTGAAAGCGG